GGTGAAGCAATCATATCATATCAGTTATATATGGGGTGTGAAATGTGGTTTGGGTAATGAATTAATTCTCTGGGTAGATGAAATTAATTAAGATGTGATTAAATGTAGATCTAGGCCAGAATATAGTTTTTTTTAATGTATTTTGAGTTATGTTTATAGGCTTGTTATTATATGATGAACCTTCTGGACAGATGAAATTATCTGAGACATATTGGTGGGGGATTAAAGGTAGATATAAACTAGAATATATTTACTTTTAGTTATGTTTATCTGTTAGTAGTAAAATATTAATTTTGGGAAAATAAAACCGCTGTGGATATTATAAGTATGGTTATAAGTTAAAGTTGTGCTCTTGGTCGGCTTTCAGGGGAATTATGTTTATTGTTATTGAGGTTTGAGGATTAAAATGATAGGTGACAACTGAAGTACAGCAAATGATATCAAAGTGGAAACATTGGAGATTGTTTAGGTGATTATTTAAAGTAAATATTTATTTCTCTCCTAGAATTAAATTGAAGGAATATAAGTGTACCAACCAGGAAATTTGAGTGCTATATGGAGCAAAAGTAGGAAAATGGATTTGACAATGGGAATATATTTTGATTGAATTATAGGAAAAGCTGGAAAGAGACTTAGCAATTCACTTAGTTACAATCAAAGGAACAATCATCGTGGTGTGTAAGAAAAATTAGTAGGTGTGTGGATTTATGTTTGTTGTTGTCTTATATGTGTGTATGTCTGTTAAAACTCAATAAATATATTATAAAAAAAAAGAGTGTTGAACCAGGAAGACTAATGTCCAAATATTGGCTTAGTCACAAAAATCACTGAACAGAGTTCCAATAAAAGACAAAGACATTTGAAACTAGTGGACAAACAATACCAGAGATGGATTAGCCTATTGAAAACACCCAGAAGCAAGCTGAGGTGAATGGCTCCCATAGGTTTAGGTCTTGGGTCAAGCGTGGTAACAAGCACAGCTGTTTTGTTCGCTCCTGTGGCCAGAGCAGAGCTGAGCAGCCTTAGACCCTAGCCCTTGCTAGTGCTGCTGGGACCTGTTGACTTTCTCCTTTCACTTTTGCAGAATGCTACATTTTTTGGTGCTGTCACTTTTCTTTGGACCCATGACAGTATAAATTTAGGGCCCCGGTCACACGGAGGATTTGCCGCGCTAAAGGCACGAATGTCAGGTGGATTTTCGGGGCGTGATCACACAGCAACATCTGGGAAGCATAGCACACCCGTGGCCAACCCGTAGCGTCCCGCCGAAGATGCACAGTAAAAAAGTAACTCGGAAAGTGCACTAGTATCCAGAAAACGCGGGGCAGGGGCGGGCGTCTGATCGCAGGAGCGCTAGTATCCCGTGGCATCTGGCGCCCGTCCACATCCCGTCGCAAACCGGATGCTTTTCGTAAGTGCATGTGCACAAACACGAAGCTGAAAGCAGTGCTGGTCCGTGGAACTGTGCATGCACACAAACGCTAAACGCTTGCCACGCCGCTTCTTTGCCACGCTCCAGCATCGCCGTGTGATTGCCAGCTAACAGCCTAAGTGCGAAGCCTCGGGAGACCGTGTGATCTGGCTACTGCATTTTATTTTGCTCCGGGGAAAACAGCCACGCCTCCCCCACGTGTTATCTGGCCTGTGTGACCGGGGCCTAGGATATATATTTTTTGCTGATTAAAAAGGTTTCAGAGCCCCCACTCCAGGGGGATTTGGCAAATGAGATTTAAACAAAGTCATAAAGTATTGGTAGTCCCTGGCCCGAAAGATGTCTGCTTAGCCTCAACCAGAGCCAGGGCCTTTTCTGCCTTGGCCCCAGCCTGGTGGAACACACTCCCACCTGAGATCAGAGATTAGTTCTGCAGGGCCTGTAAAACAGAGCTGTCCCACCAGGCCTTTGGCTGAGGTGGTGGACATTCAACCCTCTTGGCCTCCCCTGCTCACAGTAACTTATCTGACATTGGTTACCACCCATCTCTTGGACCCCCTATAAAAAGAACCAGTCACCTGACTCCTCCTAGCTAGCACTCCCCCCAAGACGATTAGAATCCGCACACTCAACCACTACACCAAAATGGAGAGGGGAATGTTGTAAACTGCTCTGGGTCCCTATGGGGGGGGGGGGAGAAGCAGGGTATAAGTACAGTAAAATAAATGAAAGATTAAACTAACAGGTGATCATTCCAGCTAATTGTACTGGATTCTGATTAAGTGGATATTTCCATGTTTGTGTACTGAGAAGTCTTCTTGACCCAGACTGCCCCATAAAAGACACTGTCACAAATGCTTCTTTGATGGTACAAATAGGATTCACACACACTTCTCTCTCTGCATCCCATACGTGTGCTGCAGGCCCCAGTGCCAAGCCCATCCAAAGCCATGTTAATACTCAGATGCATGCCAACTGTCATGTTTATTTCCTCGTCTCATTCCAGGGAATGTCTTCTTGGGTGTTCTTCTGCCCGCTCCCCTTTCATAACAGTTTGGAGTGGGGCAAATTAGGTGGGACTCTTCATACGCTGTGGACACAGTTTAATCAACCAGTTGTTTCCTGAAGTGTAGGACAACAGAATCTGCAAAACAGTGTATCCATGTTCAGTGGGGCCTTGCTGCAACTAGGCATGCACTGTGACCAGTGTTCCCTCTAAGCTGAGTTAGTGTGAGCTAGCTCAGTTTTTTAGCCTCCGGCTCACAGATTTTTGTCTTAGCTCAGTAAGGAGGGCTCCAGAGCAAACTCATTGATACAGTAGCCGAATCGCTTGCTCACAACTTTAATGCCAGTAGCTCACAAAGTAGAATTTTTGCTCACAAGACTCCACAGCTTAGAGGTAGCATTGACTGAGACTTGTGGTGACTATACACACTCATGCAGACTGAAAGAGAGCGCAGCCAGAGCAACCTTCTCGCCACAACAATCACCACTGTAAACCAAATCTAGCTGAAATATAGACCTAGTACAGGTAATTTTGCTTCTCAACACATTAGGACTATGACTAGATGGGGCGGGGGGAAATCACAATTATTGGATATATGAATAATTTTTTTAAACTTGTGGCTTTAGGGGACCATTCCAAAAACAGCTCCCACCAGCTAACTTTGCCCACACCATACCGTTTTATTTCAACAAATCCTCTGCACATTGCTTCCCAATTCCTGCCTTTTAATTTATTTTATATACCAATGGTGAAATGTCCAGTTCCATTCATTAATATGTCATGAGGTCACCACTGAAAGGAAAGGTCTTATCTGACCACTTGCAATTTGAGAGAAGTGATGACATTCTTGAAGAGCCCAGTGGTGCATTTTCAGACAACTTGTTCCAAATACTTCAATGCTTCAGTGGGTTACTTCTTTAATACATGAAAGAAAGAATTCTAGGTGTGGATAGTGAAATGGCAGTGCCTTTTCTTAACTAATTTTGTAACCCTATTACTAATAAATGAAGCACTCAGACCGCCACTCCAACCTTACCTTTAAAATACAGGGCATGAGTTTCCCATATCATATCAGTGCCTATGCTGGAGTTAACACACACAGAACAGTCAGCCACACAGATATTGAGCCAATGAATTTTATGAAACATATTAACAAGAATCATACAAATAAATAAAAATATGTACACAAGGTGGTGTACAACCTAAGGGCAGAGTGCTAAAGAAGACCAATGCTTTCAAATCTGTTTAGAAACAATATGAATGCAATACTTTCCCATCATGCTGCCAGAAGTTATCACTGAATGAGAATCAGTTGGATCATCCATTAGGAGGGGGAGGAGTTGGCGCTCCTGTGGTGGAGGAGTGAAAGGGTGCCCTTCCTCATGTGTGCACTTCAAACAGTATGCAAACTGAGGCCTCCCCATTGACCCAGATGGCATGCAGTTTCTTTTCTAGCAAGGAAAGGCTGAAATTGCATGAACTGTATGATTGGGCATCAGCATGTGGGCCTTTGAAGTACCTGGTGGAGAGGAGAGGCATCCACCACCACCACCACCACCACCACGATGGGAAATAATGGTAACACAGAACTCAATGAGATCTATTCAGCTGCTAAAATTCTATATGGAGCCTTTTACTTAAGCTCACTGTCATGGACACTTGAAAAGGCACCTCTGTTCTTACAGCTGAAGCAGCCATCTAAACAACGTTCCCCAACATTTCCTGTGGCTTTCACAAATGTTATTACTTTTCATCATTTTCATTCTTCAGCAGTGCTGTTCTTCTGCTTTTAACTGTCTTATTCACAAAGCTTTCCCCCCATGAAGAGACAGTCAGATTTCAGTTTTACACAAACAAGTGAGATTGTCCTCATAAATGAAGCACAACAGAAGTGCCTTCTTTCTCATGCCTCTCTTGCATTTAGACCCTACTCTACAAATGCCAGAACACAAACAGAACTTGCACAAAAGGGAACATTGTGTAGAACAGGAAATAACATCTTCAGAATGCCCCAAATTCACGAACATCTGCCTGTCTCACCCACCAGACCCCAAATTCTTCCTCAGCACATTAACTGCCCTCAATCTGTGATGTACTTTTGAGGAACTTCCTCTCATGCATGCATATATGCATCATACCAGGCTTCTCCTGAATCCTTCAGAGAGCTGCAAAACAAAAAATATGGCTTTTACTGAGCAAAAAGGATGGTAAAGTTAAGAAAAACAGACAAGCCAAGCCAAAAAATTTCTGATACAGTAATGACAATATAAATAGCATGACAAGACAGATCCACAACTGTTAATATCGACGCAGAGAGCTCATTAGAACTACTGAGAATGGCAGTTCAGTATTATATTTTGATATAAACAATAAAACATAAATTATGCATTTCTTTCTAATTAAGGAGGAACATATAACAGACTTTCATATCTAAAAAGATGCAGTATGCTTTCGCCCCCAATATAATAACGTTTTATACAGATGAAATTAAGAGGAGATGGTTCACAAGAATCAAAATGGAGGACAGACAAGCAAAATTTAAGATTTCTTTTTATGGAAGAATTATAGCTATCAAATAAATTTAAATAGCCAAAATGTAACTTATTACAGAATATTCCAACAGCTGTTTCAGAAAAGATAATAAAAACTGACAGCAAACAATTACCAACTTTATGTGGAAAAAGAAAACACCTAGGATTAGTTTCAGAACTCTTAAGCAGAACAGAAAAGAAGGCACTTGAGCGGATCTTATGGTAATTGTATAAGTTAATGGTGTTTTCAGCAGCCTATCATATTAACTCCAGGTTATAATGGATGAGTCTTAAGCTCTTTCACTAGTTAAAAGAATAGATTTGAGGAAACAGTATAGCTTTATGTTGTTCTCCAAATAAAGCTGTGATTGGTGCATCAATTATGGAAAACTTTGATTCCTTTGGAACAATAGCTCCTAAGAGAAAAGCCAGAATAATTTCTCTTTAAACACTGTCTCCTGCGCTGTGTGCAATTAAACTCCAGACTTCAGCATCACGTAAAACTTTCTAACAAGCTTAACTAGAAACTTTTTGGCTATATGTGCTATTGAGGCAATCCAAGGCAGGAGGTCACACAATATAATATGAACATATAGCAAAGACATACAGGATTAGAAAAGAACAGTGGACACTTGAAGGTGAGGAGGAAGAGCCACTGAATGATTCTAGTATGTTAGTACATTGAACTAAGGCTACGCAGTACAGTTTCAATCCTCCTCTATGAGCAACATTCACATCACTTTACACTCAATCACCTTTCTCTGATTCTTAAGTGTGGCTGCAGTCACACTGGTGGCTTGGCATGGTATGGTGGTGCCTAAAATTGTACTGGTTTAAAGTGTAGCAGAGCATTTCATCCACATCACACCAGCTGTGGTGGGTTACCTGCGCAGCCATCCCTTGGGGGAGCATCCATATTAGTGTTGCGCTTAGGGTTGCCAAGTCCGAAGCAGCGCTGGAGCGGGGGACTCCAGCGTTGTTCCAGGAGGGCGCGTGCGCCACAACCACATCACCCGGAATTGACGTGACCACGCCGGGCACACTGGGGCGGGGCCACGACCATCCAAGGGAAAACCATAGTTTCCCCTTGGATGACCGTGGCCCCGTCCCCAGCGTGCCCAGCGTTGTCGTGTCACTTCCGGGTGATGTGCACGTTGCGTGCTTTGGGGGTGGGGTTCCCCCTGGGGCCCGATTTGCCGGTGGCGGGGAACAGGCCTCTGGGGCGGGGGTTTCCCCGCCCCCCGGGGGGACTTGGCAAGCCTAGTTGCGCTTCAACTACTGGATGAGCTGTAAGGGTGGGTTTTATTTAAATTCAGGCGGATGGATGTGCATATAAGCAGCAACCCCCTGGCCCCCGTGGTGGCGGAAACAGATCTGCACGTTCAGACGTCCCTTCTGGTTTCCTTTCGCTGCAGGAGAGTTCAGATGTCGGAAAACCCGGAGAGGAACTCTGAATGATCTGTTAATACTGGACTTTCCCCGGCATCTGTTTATTCCGCTTCCATTGAGGAACAGCACGGGCTGCTGATGACTGTCATGATCTGGGCTGTGCCCCCAGAGGCCTACTAGGCCCAAGGAGCCTGGCTAGCAGTAGGTGAGGCTGGGCCTACAACTCCCAGAAGCCCCTGGGAGGGTTTGGAGAAGCAGGAAGAGTTGTTCTTTCTTCCAGAGGGCAGAGCCAGAAGAAAGGCTGCTGCAGGGGAAAAACCCTCATCCTGAGGGAGGGGTGAGTAATGTAAGGCCACTTGAGATAATGAGCTATGGAAAATATATTTAGACGTGTTAGGGCATTTGATTTCTTTTCTTTTCACCCGCTTACTGTTATTATTCTGCACCTTGTTGTTTGACCTCCTATAAAATAAACCTTTTCCTTGTTTCACTCTGCCTGGTCCTCACGCCTCTTATTCGGCCAAAAGGGAGGTCTGAAGGTCTTGGGAGGGTGCTCTGGGCCTTCTCAAGGGAACCTAAACCCAGAGTGGTGGCAGCATCAGGTGCCACCCCACCTGAGCCGTGACAACTCCCTACAGTCAAGTTACCGTCTTCACTCGAACAGAAGCCACTAATGAAAACAGCAATAGTCCCCCTTATGTACATTTATATCTAATCCATCCAATGCATGAGCTTAGACACAGAAAAAATTAGTGACGGAGGTGCATAATAAACTAAGGATTCTGCTGATTCCTGTTTGTGGTGAGAGGAGAAGGTACAAAGACTTTTGTGACTTGGTTCTCATGGGAGGGAGTCAGTAGGTACAGTCAATGCTGCTGGGAGCTCCTGTCCTTGCGTAAGTTCAAAATATGTCCCTTCTTAGATACTGATAGCCTACCAGGGCTCTAGTGATGCTTGCACTTCTCCTCCATCTGCTTTCTGGCACACAACAGCGGCCCAGTGTGGCACAGTGGTTAGAGTGTTAGACTACGACTTAGGAGGCTCAGGTCTGAATCACCACTGTGCCATGGAATCTGGTTGGGTGACCTTGGGCCAGTCACACATTCTCAGCCTAGCCTACCTCACAAGGTTGTTGTGAGGATAAAATGGAGGCAAGGAGAACAATGGAAGTGTCAGGTAGCTCCGCCATTCTCTTGGAATGTGTGGAGGGGGAAACCACCTTACTCTGCCTGCTTCTGCGTTTCACTGTCTGCGTATTATCTCTTCCTTGACCTTGGGATGCTCCAGCTGCTCTCATCTTCTGCTGGGAATCAGTGGCTCTTGATTTTGCCTGTTTTCTTTCCCCGCATGCGCGAACTTTATTGGCTTTGCTTGTAAGGGGGGGGGGGGATATTTGATTCTAGTATAACTCAGGGTGCCTGACTGTTCCCGGGCATTCCTGACACAAGCAATACACGTGTCATAGTCCTGGTGTACCGATAAACAGAATTCTTCTTATGAAGCGCTGTGTCGTGTGACCTGACTATCAAACCCTGACAGAAAGCCACTTTTGGTCCCTACTGGAGGAAAAGTTGGAGTATAAATGAAGTAAATAAATAATAAACAACAGTTCATAATATATCTGTCATACTTACTGTAAAATGTCTCCAAATGCAGTGAACAGAGGTTTGCATTGGTAGGCAATGCCATGCTTGGCACAGAGGGATTTCACCAGAGGAGCCACTTTCCAATAATTGTGTCGAGGCATCGTGGGGAAAAGGCTGGAGAGAGGAAAAGACATGGTTTCTGTAGAATCGTATAACATCACAATATGGAGCTACACAAAAGGATTTTGTTGCCCTTGATGGCCTTACTGGTGTTCAATCTGGAAGTTCAGGTGGCCGGTAAACCAGTCATTGAAAAAGGATTGATCCACATTGCAGGTGGCTTGGAGCTGTGGAAAAACAAGACAGAATTAGGAGCGATGGATAAGGTCTTTGTTTTCTGCTGCGGGCAAATGGCAAACTACTGGGAGCCAGTTTGGTGTAGTGGTTAAGTGCACGGACTCTAATCTGGGAGAACCGGGGTTGATTCCCCACTCCTCCACTTGCACCTGGCTGGATGACCTTGGGCAAGCCATAGCTCTGACAAGGGCTGTTCTCGAAAAACAGCAGTTTCTGTCAGAGCTCTCTCAGCCCCACCCGCCTCACAGGATGTCCGTTGTGGGGAGGGGAAGGGAAAGGAGATTGTAAGCCGCTCTGAGACTCCTTTGGGTAGTGAAGGGCGGGGTATAAATCCAATCTCTTCTTCTTCTCACCAGGTTATCAGTCTAAAATTCCTGGTTCAGGAGGAACTATGTAGGTTACCCTCTCTAGATAATACAAGGAATCCATTAAACTAGTTTTTAGCCATATGAGACAAAAGCCCTTCCTGAGGTATAGCAAAGAAGGCAAGCCGAGGAAAGATGAAGTATATAGAATGTTCAACATATAGCCCCACTAAAGCTTTAATAATGTCATTATAGGGTGAATTTATGTAGTGTTTTTTTAAAAAAAAAATTCTTTGAATTGCAGAGATTGTGTGTCACTGGGCTTGCTGGAGAGAGAGGTAGAGAATTTAAATAAATAGGCAGAAGAAGAGGGAAAGTGACAGCAAGGATGACTAGTGAAAGCTAAAGTTTCATCTTAAGTTCCTCTGGTTCATCTCTGCAATGGAGTCTTCTGAGCATGGTGCCAAACAATTAAGAACAGAGCTGGAATGTGGAAGGAAAGTGACTGACTTGATTTGTGACCACTTGGAGATTCCCTTCTGAATAGCAACAGTAGCAATGAAGGATCTCAGAAACCAGAGCTTTGGAGAACTAGAAAGATCCTTACCTGCATAGACAGCCAGTCCGCATTTTTATCGTAATCAATTTGCATTGGGATGTGGTTCATTTGTGAAACCCAAGTAAACCAACAGGTCTCAAGAAACCTGTGAAGTCAAATGCATACAGAGTATGTTACAAACTCCACACTTCTGATAACTGTCGTGTCATGTTATTTGGCTTATCAAGTTGGTACATTCTTATGCACCCCTTTTCAAACTGATCACTTTGATTGGGTCCAATTCTATAACAAATTCAGCATAACAGATTAGCCTGGAGTTGTAAATTACATGTGAGAAACATCTTCCCTCCAGTATCATAGTTTACCAGCACTGTAAAATACGGACATGGCTTGCTTTATATAGCCTGTGTGTGTGTAGTCGCAGATGATATATGGAGACCCCAGCAAGGGGCTTTCAAGGCAAGTGAGAAGCAGAGGTGGTTTGCCATGGCCTTCCTCAGTGATTTCCCTTCCAAGAAACAATCTGGCTTAGCTATACTATACTGCCTTCCACAAACAACTCACATGTATGCAATGCATAACTGGTTACAAGGCTACTCTGTGGATACAATGCAGATACAAATTAATTTAACTAAAGAATTTAACCTAAAATGGGAAGGCTCCAGTCACTGGATGTCAAACACAATCAAAGCACCTTATAACTGATAATAGAAGTATAAAACCTGGAAGCTGCAGCTGGCAGCCAGGTTGCTGATGAGTATCCTCATGCGGAAGCACATCCAGCCCACCCTAAAAGTACCACACTGGCTGCCAATAGCATACCGGATTCGGTTCAAGGTGCTGGCTATTACCTTTAAAGCCCTTTATGGCCAGGGACCTGCATACCTGAAGGACTGCCTTTCCCCATACATTCCCCAGAGAGCGCTGCGATCGGGGACCCAGAACCGGCTGGCCCCCCAAGCTTCAAGGAGGCCAGACTGGTGGCAACTAGGGCCAGGGCTTTTTCAGTGGCGGCTCCACTGTGGTGGAATGAGCTCCCGGAAGAGACTAGGGCCCTGCGGGACCTTTCACAGTTCTGCAGGGCCTGTAAGACGGAGCTCTTCCACCAGGTTTTTGGAGCCGCCACCATTAGCAACCACTAACACCTCCACCACCAAAAATTAATACCTACTTTGGCGGAGACCTGGCCCGTAGGTCCCTCAAACACAGCCCGTGCCAATTACCTGAGATAGCCGCAGAAGGCTGAAGACCCAATTGGGATAATGAGGATGTTGCTAGCACTTTATCTTGTTTGCATTTTAATGCCGTACTTATTAATGTATTATGATTGTTTTATGCGAATTTTATTGTTGTAAGCCGTCTTGAGCCGGCCTTGGCCGGGAGAAACATTTAATAATAAAAATAAATGATTTATAAAGTTTCAGAGCAAAGAGAGGTCTTAATGTTACCTGGAAAGCCAGTAGTATGCCATAAAACACGTAAATCCCATAAGGGGTATGTAGATCAGACAAACTCTGATGTGGTAGGTCACAATCAATGCTACCTCCTGCCAAAGATGAGAAAGAGAAATGATAATCTTGATCAAGTTATGCACCAGGCCTCCACATGAGATGGTTCACAAAGCCGCTCCTCCCCCGCCTCCTTGTTTCCTGACAGTGCTCACCAGCCATTCTTTTCGCTTGATTGGGAAGTAGAATACAGAGAACTGGAAGAAGGGAAGCAGCAAACCTGGACCTGTAACTGTTGAAAGAAAGAAAAATCCAACAACCATTACGATCAGATATCTGTTTGCCCTCCCACGAGGATGCTCTGAGTTAATGATTCGATATTTAATAGGGTTGTGTAAAAGGTAAAGGTTCCCTTGCTCGAAGCCAGTCGAATCTGACTCTAGGGTTGCGGTGCTGATCTCCGTTTCAAAGCCGAAGAGCCAGCGCTGTCCGAAGATGTTTCCGTGGTCATGTGGCCGGCATGATTAAACACCAAGGCGTACGGAACGCTGTTACCTTCCCACTGAAGTGGTACCTATTAATCTACTTGCAATTTCTTGCTTTCGAACTGCTAGGTTGGCAGGAGCTGGAACTAGAGACGGGAGCTCACTCCATCACTCGAACTTGCTGAACTACTGACCTTCCACAGCCTGCAGTTCAGCGTCTTAACCACTTGAGCCACCGCAGCTCCACAATAGGGTTGTGTACTAGCACCAAAAACCAGACTCGGATTTCTGAATTAGGACCCTTTGGTTTTGCAATTTAGAAAATACACAATTTCTGAATGTCCAGAACGCCATTAAAGTCACTAGGAATAGCCATTTCCCACTAAAACAAACAAACTCTGAATAGTGAAAATGCCACTAGGGCAGCATTGGGCAAGACATTGTGCAGCAGACGACAGCTGGTGCTGGGGAGAGGACAAATACCCTGGGTAGCACTGGCAGATGGACTGGAGAGCCAGACAGCATATAGACAGCGGTGGTGGGCCAGAACTTCCCCAGCCAGTACTGGTCACAGCCAATCCTCCCTCTAAGCTGTGGAGTCTTGTGAGCAAAAATTCTACTTTGTGAGCTACTGGCATTAAAATAGTGAGCAAGCGATTTGGCTGCTGCATAAATTAGTTTGCTCTGGAGCCCTCCTTCCTGAGCTAAAACAAAAATGTGTGAGCCGGAGGCTAAAAAACTGTGAGCTAGCTCACACTCACTCAGCTTTGGGAGAACACAGCACAGCTGAATGAGTGAGCATAGTCCTGGAATAGCACTTGGGAGGAAAGAAAGAGACAGCAGGGGTAGAGATGTAAAATTTCTGGAAATTTTGAAGCTCGGGAAAAAACCCGTTTTTTTCTAGTTTTTTTCGGGGGGGAATGGAAATTTTCGGAAAAATTGAAAAAAATGCTACACTAAGCATTTCTTTTCCAGATTGAAAGTCATTCTGTTACTTTAGGAACATACAATATGACTGGACATTTTTACTTGGCATGAAATTATCACAACTAGCATATTAAAAATACAGTGTATCCAAACAATTTTTACAAACAAATTATTACAAACATGCAAAAACAAAACTGAAACCTTTTTCTTTTCTTGTGACAATAGCACCTCCTAAAGGAAGAAATGCATTTTGTTCTTGCATTGGAGAGTTCAGTTTGTAACCTAGGACTTGCTTGTACTCCGTGCACAGAAATTAGATCAATCTGATACCATACATAATTTTTAGAAATGATTTGGAAAATATTTGAACAACTTGTCTTAAAATATTTTATTCATCATGTTAAAATAAAACGTTCCATAATCAATTTTTTTTCTTTTCTTTTTTCAATTTTTCCAATTTTTCGGGGGGGAAAAAAGGCTTCTGGGGGGAAAAAAACGGTTTTCCTGCGAATTTTTCCGGGCCTTCACATCTCTAAGCAGGGGAGACAGCAGACAGTAGAGTGGCATACCCTATCCTGTGGGCAGGAATGTGCCAATCTCTTATTCAAAGGGCGCTTCAGGGAAGCACAGCAATTTTCCTGTAGCCACCCCCATGCACCAACTTCCTCTACGTGCTGTTTCATATTGATGGCGGACTCTCCCCAAAACATAACAGTCTGGTTCTGCTACAGCATGGGGGGAAAAAAATCACACACACACAAAGAATCTATTATCTAAATCTATCAGTCCTTATCCATATGTCTAATATGATGCCAAAGAGGCCTAAACTCAATGTAACATTTCCCTATGAATTTACAGTCTAGTTAATCTAGGTTATCTCTATTATATACTGATGGGTAGAGAGGGAATCAAATGTAAAAAGGGACACAGAGTGTTTCAGCATGTAGAGCAAATGGTCAGGAATCGGATACTGCAGGGAATTAAATAAGCAGCTATGCTAGGAAAGGACTGGTGTGAAAGAACCTTCTTGATGGTCTGTGCCTGCTTCAGGATTTCATAAGTGCAGACAGACGTTGCTCACAGGTTTTGCTCTCACCCCATTCCCTCCTCCCTTGGCCAAGACCATGGAAGCACCAAGCAGGGACCTCTCTACCACCACCCTTGCTGCCAGAACGAAAAAAGATTGATTTGGAATTATTTGTAACTGTTCTGAATATAGCATTATTCAGTGCTTCCGAATACTTCTGAATTTGAATTGCACATCCCTACTAAATCCAGGTAGTCTGCCATGTTGGTCTGAAGCAGTACAACAAATTTAGACTCCGGTGGCACCTTTAAGACCAACAAAGGTTTATTCAAGGTATGAGCTTTTGTGTGCAAGGCACGCTTTTTGAAATACACTGGAATGGAAGGTAAGGTTCAAACTTAGAGACGGGATGAACAGCAAATTAACATGATGAAGATGTGCGAAGACAAACTAAATAACAAGCTACGGTTATAATAAGCTGAGGAAAGAAAGAGAAAAATGCTCTATAACCAAATTAAGAAACGAGAGTAATGAAGAGAAATACAGCGTACAAGAAATTAAAAATATAGTGGAAAAATTCTACAAAGAACATTACCAGCAAAAAGATCAAGATTATCAGAAGATTAAGGATTATCTAGAAAAGGGGAACTATACCACATTCAATGATCAACATAAGATGTTAAACAAACCAATCACTACGTGCAAAATGGTAGAAGCAATAAAGAGGCAAAAAAAGAAAAAAAGCACCTGGGCCAGATGGCTTGTCAGTGGAATTATACCAAGTATTCGAGGAACAGATAAATAGCCCATTAAAAGATCTGTTTCAAAAGATAGGAAAAACAGAAAAAATACCTGAGTCATGGAATAATGCAGTAATTACCTTAATACACAAACCTAACTTGGACACAAGTGAAATTAAAAATTATAGGTCTATTTCTTTACTAAATGCAGATTACAAAATATTTGCCAATGTTTTAGCCTCCAGACTTAAAAAGGTGTTGTCCCAAACTATTCACCAAGATCAGACGGGGTTTTTACTGAAAAGACAAATGAAGAATAATCTGTGTACAGTTATTGATATATTAGAATATAATGAGGTACATCCCGAAAAAGAATGTCTTAATGTTTCTTGATGCAGAGAAAGCTTTTGACAACCTATCGTGGGAATTTCTATTGCAAAAACTAGATAGAGCTGATGTGGTCAGTATTTTTTGACCATAATTAAAGCTATTTATAAAAAACAATATGCTAAAATACTTGCAAATGGAGATACAACCACTAATTTAGAAATCCAGAAAGGTTCAAGACAAGACAATGGCTATCGCAATTACTGTTTATTTTTGTACTAGAATCTTTGAGCAATTTCATACAAAAAATCGAACAGATAAAGGATTTAAAAATAAAGGGAGAAGAATTCAAACTATTGGCTTTCGCAGATGATCTGCTATTTATATTAGATAACCCGAAAACATCCATATCTTTGCTGGAGGCAATAAAAATGTATGGAAATGTAGCAGGTCTTAAAATAAATTATAAGAAAAAGAAGTTAATATCGAAAAATTGTCAACTAGAAACTATACAAGAAATTCAAAAAATAATGTCGGAGTTCGTAAAAAAAGTCAAATATTTAGGTATAAATTTGACCAATAAATGTAGCTCCTTACTAGAGGAAAATTATTATAAATTGTTAGATGAAATTAGAAATGACCTGTTAAAATTCAAATACATACCTTTATCTATCATGGGCAGAATAGCAACAGTTAAAATGGATATACTGCCAAGATTCTTATTCTTAGGTGCAAAACATTCCTATTTTAAAGAATCAGAAATATTTTGAGGAGCTGGATAAAATTACTAAAAAATTTATATGGCATCCCAAAAGAGCAAGAATAAGATGGAAAATAATACAGGATAGGAAGGAAAAAGGGGGGATGTACCGAACTAGTCTCTGTATTATAAAGCGGCCGCCCTTGTCTGGATAAAAGAATGGCTTGAGTTGGATACTAGGACCCTAATATTAGAGGATCACGATTTGTTCATGGGTTGGCACGCTTATGTATAGTACGGTAAAGAGAAAATACACTCTAACTTTAAGAGTCATGCGTTAAGAGGAGCATTGAATAAAATTTGGAATGAGATAAAGGTGACATTTTACAGGAAAACGCCAAAATGGGTCTCACGGCTTGAGGCATTTACAAAGTCATCATTAATATCTCCAAATAAAAAAGTAAACTATAATGCGTTATTGGGAAAAAAATAACGAATTAAAAACTGAAGAAAAACTGGTACGCGAATATAATTTATCCTGGTGGGAACAGGTATTGATATGCGATAGATATGGTAAAGATATGGTAAGAGGTTTTGAAGATGGAAAAAATGAACTTGACAAAATTTGGCTGTTGTCAAATGACAAACTAATTCAGAAACTTTATAGTTTTTTACCGGATGATTTTGAACTGGATGAAAATATTAAAGAGGTGATGATATCTTGGATGAAAGATCTGGGAAAAATATAGTTAATGGTCTAAACATGGAAATCCATAAAATATATGAGAGCCGTAGCATACAAAGAAAATGTATATAAAATGTTCCACAGATGGTTTTGGTTCCCGGAGAAAATAGCTAAGTGTTATAATGTATCCAACCAATGTTGGTAATGTAAATCTAATGTGGCGACTTTTTACCATATGTGGTGGAAATGTAGTAAGGTGCAAAAGTATTGGAAAATGATACGTAAAGTAATCCAAGAAATTTTGGACCTGAATCTCACTCTATTACTGGAAATTTATCTGTTAAACATGATATCTAATGGATATAACTCAAAAGATGCATACTTAATAACATACATAATAACTGCTGCACGAATGTTATTGGCAAAAAATTGGAAACGAGAAGATACCCTCAAAAGAGGATCTAATGCTAAAATTGTTAGATCTTGCACAAATGGTGATTTGAGTTTAAGGTTACAAGATAAAAACAATAATGTATAAAATAGAAGATGGAAAAGGATGTATAATTGCGTTAAAAATGTTGATGAATAATAGACTCTGAAAATATATGTAAACTGTGTAGATGTAATGTCTAATAAAAAGCAAAATAAAAGTAAAAAAAAAGTTATAAAGCAATATATAAATATTCAAGGGGTGGACCCGCGATACTCACGGGGGGGGGGAGGCAGAGGAGGAAGCAGCAGGAGGAGGGAAGTACCCCTCCATCCTGCCGGTTCCCCCCGTGTCCTCCACCCCCATTGATCTCCCCCCCCTTGCCTCTCCCCCCGGCCCTCGCTGTTTCCCTGCCCCCCCAACCCGGCATTGGAAGGAACATTGGAAGGAAGCACCCTTGATTTCTCCCAAGCCGCGCGCGTGTGTGTGTGTGTGCCGGGGGCGGGGGTGAGAGATAGCGGCGTGGCCCGCTTGAGAGTCCGGGGGAACCCAAAGCGGCTTACGCTGATCTCCTCACCTCCGCTGTTTCCTCACAACAACCCTGCGAAGTCAAATAGGCCGAGAGAGCGTGTGACTGGCCCGAGGTCACCCAGCGAGCTTCCATGGCAGAGCGGGGGTTCGAACCCGACACTTTAGCCACCACGATGTGCAAGGAGGGGTCTCCGTTCCCCGCCCCTCCTTCCCGGCTTTGACTACAGGGCGCGCTGCTCCTTCCGTGCGGGGGGGAGGGGTGCCTTTTGGGGAGGCGCCTGCGAGGGGCGCAGAACAGAACAGCCCCCCGCCGCCTTGTTTTTTAAACTGCCTTGTAGGGTTTTAATGTTTTATACGTTTTTATGACCTCGTCGTGCCCCAGACAGGTATGGGTGGAGAGACCCCCGGACTGCAGGCCGATACCCCCCCGACAGGAGTTACTGCGTCCCCCTCCCGCCGGGGAGGGGCCTGTAGTGCAGCTGGGGGCCAGCTGGTGGGGGGGGCGTCCGGAGGGCGGGAGGCTCCGCCAGCTGCATCCAGGAATTGAAGCGCCGGCCGG